CCAGAGGAAAGATGAGAAAGAGAGCTGTTTGCACCTGAAGCTTTCTTCCCATGTTGGCCCATTTTGTCTACAGCTCATAAGTGCCTTTTTATGGACAGGAAATAAACACCGCGAGGCAAGCAGTGCCCTCAGTGGACCCCGGATCTGCCTCTGGCTTCAGCAGTGTTTAGACGGAACAGACCCAGGGATGCCCCTTCCAACCTCTGAGTACCCTCCAACCTCTTTTTCCAGCATCACCTTCGGAACCACCTGAGAGCCCAAGAAGAGCCAACCCCCGTTTTTGACCTAAATTCCTTATGGCCAAACAACCATGAGCTCTCAAATTTATCAGAATTATTCCACTGGGATAGAGGCTGCCATCAACCCCCTGGCCCACCTGCATCTGTGGGCCTACCCCACCTACCTCTCTCTGGCTTCTATTTGGACTGCGTCCATGTGGCTCTGGAGGACAAGGACCTCTTCTTCCAGGAGTTAGCAGAGGAGAAGCTGATGCAAAACCAGGCCAGTGGCTGCACTCTCCTCAGGACGTGCTGAAGCCTCCCAAGATGAGTGGGCAAAACTCATGACACCATGAGAGCTGCCTTGGCCTTGAACAGGAACCTGACCCAGGCCCTTGTGGAGCTGCAGGCCCTGGGTTCTATCCAAGCAGACCCTCAGCTCCTTGACTTCCTGGATGAGCAAGTGAAACTCATCAAAAAGATGGGTGACACCTGACTCACCTTCCCCAGGCTGGCCCGCCCCCAGGCTGGGCTGACCAGTGTCTCCTTGAAAGGCTCACCTTCAAGCACAACTAGGAGCTTTTGGTCCCCAGAGGCTGTGAGGGGCCCCTTTGCATTCCCCTGGTGTCTGGCTTTTGCCTGAGCCTCTCCCCAAAACCACTAGCTATTCTTTGAATTACCCCGGAGCCCTCTCCCATGCACTGGACCAAATGGAAACAATTAAGCTTTTTGTAGTAAAACATATATAAATAAAAAAGACTAAGGCAGGCAGATGTGTGAGGGATTTTTCCATTTCCTTATCAAAACCTGCTGATATTTACAAATATAAGTATTTAAAGTATCTCAAGTATGTTTGCCACATAATCTTGAAAACAGCATTGGTAGGATAAGCTATCACATTTCAATTTTGTGTTGACATCTGATATCAGGAAATTTTATCATTAAAAGTTAAGTTTTTAATACTTATATACATATGTCATAAATACTGAGTATTTAGAAGAGTGCTATATAAACCTGAATCTTTTTTAAAAATATCAAAAATGCATATGAATATTTCCATGATAAAGTTTTAACCACAAAAAACATGAGCAAGTATTGAAGAAATGAGGTGTTACAGATTTTTTCATTTATCAATTTTACTTCAGACAATATAAAAGAAGTGAGAACTTTGTCAGTATAAAAAAATTATTTCATGCCATTATTTCTTTTCAATCTGCTAGCTAAAAACATGTCCATATCAAGCTTTTCTTTCTTGATCCTTATTATAGTCTCCATAAAAATCATTTGAAGTATACTGTCTCAAAAAGGGAAGCTGATTCCTCTTCTGTCCAAATTGTTAGTTTTCTGATTGACTTTAAAAACCAAAACTTTACACTCTCTGAGGGAAAATAATCTATTTTTCTAGAGAATTTCAATCTGTCAGTCACTCTGATAGACGCACAGCTCCTACTGTATTATTTTTTTGCTTCAGCTAACGTATGTTAAAACAAAACCATTTCTAAAGCTGAAGACAACTCAGCATTCTGATTCACTCCAAAAGTTCTTCAACCAGTGACTGTAAGTTTCCCTGACGTAAGACATTACCTTGACTCATTTTCTTCCAGTATCAAACAAGTATGTGACCTGCCCCAGAAATGAGTTACATCCAAACATTGTCTTAAGCAGAGAAGTTAGAGCTGCTGAATTTGGAACTCATACATTTTCAGTTTTAAAACTCACAGAAAGACACCTTCGGTTCCAAGACATGAAATGATTGAGAGAGGAAAAAAAAAAAAAAAAAACACATTCAGGAAGTTTTCACTCTTCATCATTTTTAGTCAATGATCCATTTGTATGTTGGCCAACAAGTATTGTTACAATAAATTACTATTCGCAGGCAGAGGCTACGATCTTCACAGATATTTCCTCCTGGGGACTAAAGAATTCAGTGCTTTCATCAAATGTATAGATGGAACTTCAATAGATGGAGATGTTTTTCAGCAATTCTTTTTCACAGAGATAATTTTATGAAAAGTTGTTTTAGGTTATGCCGAAACAAGTATTCTGCATACTGAGTGTTATACAAGTCAGTCATCCAAAAGAACCCAGACATACCACACTGTGGCCAAATTCACCGAGTTGCTATCTTCAAGGAAGAAACCTAATTAAAATGTTAAACAAGACAGTAGAATAGCAGGAGATAGCTCCCCTCCCTCTCTTCCTTCCTTCCTGCTTTCCTGCCTTTTCTTCTCTATGTTGCTCTCTTATAATAATAATAAATAATAATAATAATAATAATAATAATAATAATTCAGATATCTTTAGCTCTGAGCCTGTTTGTTATGTGTTTTTACAACTCGTGGGCATTACACCATACTCTGCCAGCCAGGATAGTTATAGCATACCCATCATTGACATTGTCAGAAGCCCCAGGTAAAGTGCTTCAGGTGCCAAAAAGCAGCACGTCTCTTCAGCATGCAGAGCCGTGGCTCCTGCCCGGAGTTTAGAACTGGGCTTTCCTGAGTCAGACGGACCAACACGTGGCCCTCAAGCGGGAGCTTCTTTCCCACAGTCTGGAAGTTGACACGTGAAGGACCTCATTGCCCTGGACTTGCAAGTCACTGGAGGTGAGCTAGTGCTTCTGGGAGCTGACATGAGAGGAAAAGGCGGACGCTGGACCTCTAGTTCTCAAAATTAGCTACTCAATCATCGCCTGGGGTTTTCAAAACCACTCAGATGTCTGGGTTCGATATAACTGGCTTGGGCCTCGGTATTTTTCAAAGCAGCAAAGCTTAAGGGTCATTGTTTTAAAGGATACAAATTTCACATTTAGGACATAGGTAAATCAAGGAGAAGGAAACTCCCCTTTGTGTGAGGTGAAAAAAATCAATCAAAAAGCAGGAGGAAATAGTTTTTACTATCTTCATGCTTCAATATTATTCTGTTGTCATTTAATATAATCAAATGGCCATCTATTTGAGATGTTTACTTGGTCTCTTTCAGAGGCCCCGTGTCAGAAACTTTACATCTGAGCAACAGCAAACAGCTGTCAGAACAAACACCAAGTTGTTTCCTTGCTGCTCAAGCCCTTCTGCTTTAGATGAAGACGCAAACTCTCTCCCCACAAACCAGTGAGCTGTCCCATCGGAGGGGGCAGCCCTCACCCAGGTCCAGCACTTGTAGTCAGGCAGGAAGGAGGTGGGCCCTGGGCCTCCAGATCTTCCAGTTTTTTCGGGAGAACTCAGAAATCTTCATGTTCATGTGAAATCTCACCATTTCTAAATGTTGGCAAGTAATTCAATTGTGAAAAATCAGAACACATCTGCCGACCAAAAGCCAGCTGCCAGTTTGCAACCTCTGGCCAGGAAGGCTCTCCTGCATCTCGCCTTCAGGTGGCTAACTCCTCGTCAGCTTTCAAAGCTCAATTCTTTTGGCCACCCCTCTCCAGCCAACCGTTTCCTCCCGGCCTAGAGCTCCAACTCTGAGTGCTAGCTCACTCACTCACGTCCCCAAAACTTATCTCCCTGCTGGGAGATTGTGTCTGTTTCCCCTAATAAACTCCTTCGCCCCCAGGGCAGGGATGGTGCCTCCATTTTCTTATTTTAGGAATTTAATCCCAGACTGGATTCTGACTCAGCAAATAAGTATTTATTAAATGCTTACTTTGGGTCTATTCAAGAATTTAACAAATTCAAATTCTGGCCCCTCAAAAATACAATGTCATTGTTTTTACAAATGGCTCGTCCATGAATAGTCATTATAATGCAAATCCTAGTTTGAGGGAATGAGAAGAGTGGCATGTTTAGTGCCAGGCAGCGAGGCAGAGAGCTACACCTCCTCCTCTGCAGGGAAAAGTCATCTGTGGGCACCTACGCCTGAAAAGTCAAGGTGTTATCAACATAAGCCTGTCATAAAGAAACAGGGAGGTGAATATGAAAAGCAGCCTCTTGGAGGAGGGAGACAGGGAGGCAGAGAACTATAAACCCGTGGGAACCGTTTTTCATTCTTTAAACTATGGGCCTATATAACTTTGATACAGAATAGAAGCAAAACCTAAAAAAATGTGAGGAGAAAGAGTGGAACTGGCTTTTAGAGCTCTGCGCATTTGGAATCCCACTTTAGCACTTACCGTGCTAAAATTAGCTTCCTCAGATTTCTCTGAGCCTATACATTTGCATCTGTGAAATCAGGACAAATGGTAGTTGTGAGGATTAAGTGAGATTTCATGTGTAAGGCCCTTTGCCCTTATTGGACAGTTAAAGGGGGTTTCCATGCCAATTGGCTGAGCCTCCCACCCTCTCACTTGGCCATGGAGGAGACTAGCAGGCAGAGTTTTTGCCCTGAGAGCAGAGTTCTAATTATACCAATGCCCAGTTGACTGACAATGGAGATTTTATTTTTTTTTTCAAGATACTTTTATTGATTTCAGAGAAGGGAGAGGGAGAGAGAGAGATAAAAACATCAACGATGAGTGAGAAATTAGCTACCTTCTGCATGCCCCACACTGGGAATCGAGCCTGCAATCTCAGGCATGTGCCCTGACTGGGATTCGAACTGTGACCTCCAGGTTTATAGGTCGACCCCAGTCAGGCGACATGGGAGAGTTTAGATAAGTGTTTCTCTCTTCAACAAGGTTTCCTGCCTTTTCTTCTCTATTTTGCTATTTTTCTTTAAAAAAAAATAATAATAATTCAGATATTTTTAGCTCAAAACCTGTTTGTTACATGTTTTTATAACTCATGGGAATTAAAACCACTTTCAAAAGAGAAACAAAATAAAACCCAAACTCTTAGGGACCCAGTATTGACTCAGACTATTTTTATTATAATGCTTTTAAAGATTGTATTTTTATTTATATACGCATTAACTCCTTACATACATAGAACTAAAGAAACAATAAAATAAGAATACATTTAAATGGAAACCAAATAAAAAAAAACACACACAAATAGAATTCTAATGAATGCTAATTTGATATGAAATCTTAGGACATTTTGCTGACACAAAGTTTCATAGCAGGTTCTCATGGGTCCCCATGCCCAGGCCACTGGGTGCTGGCTGATGACTCAGTTTCTCACTGCTTTTCTATGAATCTTCCTTGCACTGCTGGGTGTAGGACCCCTCAGCCTTGGCATGGTTCTAGGACATCTCTTAGGCTTCAGGTCTATTCATGATCCTTTCTTGTTAGCTGGGTAATTAAAGTGACAAAATTTAGTACCAAGTGAATTATAAACAGAGACTCAAAATTAGAGGAAAACCTTAAATTAAAAATTATCATGGAAAACTAGAAAATCTCTGAATGGAACTCTGGTGGTTAAGGCCTCCTGGGAAGCCTTAAACCAAAGTCAAGAGTAAGGCTTTCCTGCGCTACTGGCATGGCTCAGTGGTTAAGTGTTGACCTATGAACCAGAAGGTCACAGTTCAATTCCCGGGTTTAGGGGTTCCTTCCCCAGTGTGGGGCATTAAGGAGGCAACTAATCAATGATTCTCTCTTATTATTGATATTTCTAACATTCCCTCTCCCTTCCTCTCTGAAATCAGTATATATATATATATATATATATATATATATATATATTTTTTTTTTTTAATATATATTTTATTGATTTTTGTACAGAGAGGAGGGGAGAGAGATAGAGAGTTAGAAACATCAATGAGAGATAGTCATCGATCAGCTGCCTCTTGCACACCCCCTACTGGGGATATGCCCGCAACCAAGGTACATGCCCTTGACCGGAATCGAACCCGGGGCCCTTCAGTCCTCAAGCCAACGCTCTATCCATTGAGCCAAACCGGTCCCTGCTATTTTATTTATTTATTTATTTATTTATTTATTTATTTATTTATTTATTTTTAAGAGTAAGGCCTTCCCAATCAGCAGGCACTATCTGTCTCTTCCCATCTCTGCCCATCCTCTCCAAGAGGTCCAGTCAAAACAGTTGGTTTCACTAGGTTTTTACCATACCCTTGGTAAGCTGTAATGAAGATGCCCTTCTTTTCTATACCCAACTGTTCCTCATCCTATGGTTCAGGTTGTGATGGGTCCTTGGTTTGCTTTCTTTTTTTCTTTTAAATGTGCTTTCTCTTTCAAAAATACATATTACAACATTTATCTCATACACAGGGCAAACACCAAAGACATGCTCTCTGATTCATTTTCTTCACATAATACCTCACTTGGACTTTCCTTTTACAACTTTGCAAAATAAATTTAGTAAGAGAATTATCATGGACAAGCAGATTGAAGCTCAGGGAAATGAAGCCCTAACTAACAATGGGTTTGGACTCCAGGTCCTTACTTTTTAATCTAGTCAAGTTAAATGCGAATGCATTTTTATTGTGAGTTTCTTGACCCCAGAAGCTGAAAATCTACCATATGCAGAAATGCTTGTTTTTAAAGCACATGTGTCAAACACAAGGCCCGCGGGCCAAATCCGTCCCGCCAGGCCTTGCAATGTGGCCCACACCGCGCTGTCATCACTGCACTCCGCTGCGTTTCCATCACAATGACAGTTTATGACTGTTCAGTAAACCATTCAGCCCGCGATTTAGGCTGGATTTTAGATTTTGGCCCCTTCTCTGATTGAGTTCGACACCCCTACTCTAAAGAGTTGCCTCATCCCCACTTTCTCTTCCTCATCCACCCCCTCTATACCATCACTTTTTTTCTTACTATTTTTATTTGTTGCACAAATATTGTAACAAAAATAAGGGACATAATTAGAAGAAAGTTTATTGATATATCCAGTACTCCAACATATCAATTATTTTTAGTTTTTTTTTAATCACTGCTATATAGTCCTTATCCAAATATTACCAAAAAAACACATACACACAAACACTTAAATTCCTCTAGGAAAGTATTCAAAACTTGGTGGTGATTAAAAGTTAGTAGCCACTCGAGTGAGTCACAGAATCAAGCAAAGCCTTGGGTGTAGTTCCTTCTCTGTAACACCCAGACCTTGACATCCATCATAAACCAGGCAACTAGAAAGAAGAGATACAATGAGGGCAAGACTTTCTCAAAGCTAGTGATCATTCATCTAAAAGAGTCACCGCTACCACATCCACATTCTATATGTGACAATTATTCCTCAACAGGAAGCAATGCCTAGTTATTTGATATAGAACCTTTCTAGTCCTTTGAATACTATCTTAATCTGAGTATATTAGCCAAAATGTTAACAGTGGTTATCTCTGGATGGTGAGATTACAAGCAATGTGTATTTTCTTTTTGATTTCTTTCATTGTCTGAGTTTTCTGCAATGAATATGTAATATGTTTGTAATAAGATTAAAACGAATAATAACAGGGATGCCGACTAGGATGAGAACTTGATCTAAAGAGAAGAGCCTATAAAAACTAGAGTCAGAGGAACAAATTATGTGGTTTCTACCACTGGAGGGACAAGCAGCCCCTCTCTGTGGTCAAAGACCCTAGAGCCCAGGAAGTACAACTTCCAGCACAGTCCAGTTCTCTTTCTAATATAACATCTGCTAACAAGCTTCTGTTGCCTTAAAAATATATTTTTTCTTTCTTTCTTTCTTTTCTTTTCTTCTCTTTTCTTTTCTTTTAAGCTTGGAAAGATTGTTCCTAAACCATTTGTCAACACAGAAGATTTGATTCTGAGAACGTTATGGATTTTCTGTAGCAATGGTCCAATATAATTTAGTAGACAATAACACCCATAGAAATGTGTGGGAGCTTGGCTGTCAAGTCCTGTAGTGCTTTAATAAAGAAACATGTCATTTTTCTTCAGCTAAATTTCAACTAGAAATAATATTAGATGAGTTCTCATTGCCATTCATCACGTCGCCTTTTTGCAATTTGGACACCGTAATGATTTCATGCAAAAAAATTCACTGTCTAGAGAGTCTTGGTGGCTTCTGTCTGATCCTGGTTTTTCCTTTTGATGCGAATTACTTATGTGCATCCATCATGGTAAAAACAGCAGAGTTTGGGCAAACACTGCTCTCTCAAGACCCCCGCTCCCTTTCAGGCCTGGAGATCCTTCATCTAACCCAGTTCCATTCTTGTGCCTCTTCCCGCTGGCTTCCCCAGTGCCATTTTTATTAAAGCCCCAGCTCATCCCACATTCAGCCGCATGACTTCTTACAGGCTTCAGAATAAATCACCACATTGCTCCGATCTTGGCTTCTCTGCCCTCGGCTTTCAATTAAATTTAGAATTGACTTTAAAGGTACAACCTCAATGTACATGGTGGAAAATGACCTTGTTTCCCCTTTCCCACCACCTGCGACTTCCTGCGCGGGGCTCTTAGACTCCAGCTCCAGGTTCAAAAAGTAGAAACGGGAATGTGCTACATGCTCCCGTGGCAAACTATAAGTCTCAAGCTGTTTAAAGTCTTTAAAGTCCCATCCAAAAGGTAAAGTACACTCTGCAGAGAGAAATCTAGGGGCCTGAAGCTCTGGCTGCCTGTGTTCAGGAAGAGACACAGAAGGAGAAGAGGAGGAGGAAGATGACGAAGAGGAGGAGAAAATTTTAAAAAGAAACCCTTTGAGCCAAACACTTAATTTAATTCTTACAGTTTGCATTTAGGATGATTAGTTTATTTTATAATACACATCACTATGAAAGTAATTATATCAAATTAATAGAAATGATCTGTGACCAGGATTACAAGGACACCAAAGGGCACCAAAGCAGACTTTGACATCAAAACGGACTTTCATCTTTTGTCTTGTCATTTGACTTCCCACTCAGAGCGAGGGATCGAGCACAGGAAGCAGCAGGTTTGGACTGTTTGGAATTGGGCATGCTCCTGTCCATGTCTCCCTCCTCCATTTGGAAGGCTTTGCCAGTCAGAATGACAGAACTGGGAAACACTTCTTTCTCTGTTCAAAAATAATAATATGTTAAGGCTCTTGGTTGTATCAAAAAGCAATCATGTTCCTCCCAATTCAGAACAGAAAAGAAGAATGATTTGATTGCCAGAAGAAAGGATAAAACAAGATCCGGCACATGAGAAGGGTGTGCAAATTGAAAGTGCTCTGCAGATGTAACAGGTCGATGTATTCCTTCCACCATCAACTCGTTATTGAGTGTCTACCAAACATGAGGTTCCGAGGAGGCTGTGCAGTGCTAGAGAAGAGCTTGAGACTTAATTTATTGGCCACTAAAATGGGTATAGAGACCTTTACTTTAGGATGTGCGAAAATTAAGTGAAAGAATAAATACAAATCACTTAGAACCAGTTCTTGGCTCATAGTAAACACCGAAGGAATGGCTTTATATAAAAACATGAGCCCTGGCTGGTATGGTTCAGTTGGTTGAGCATTGTCCTATGAATCAAAAGGTCAGATTTGATTCCTGGTCAGGGCACATGCCCAGGTTGTGGGATTGATCCTAGTCTGGGTGTGAGTAGGAGGTAACCAATCAATGTTTTTCTCTCACATTGATGTTTCTCTCTCTCTCTCTTTCTCTCTAAAATTATTTTTAAAAAAATTTTTAAGTACAAAAATAAAAAAGTACTTCCCAAAGCTATGGGGAAGTACTTCCCTACAGCCTATGAATTATTATTCTAAAGCTTCTATTTTTTTTTTTTTCGTCCTTTGATGCTAAAATTTGGGAGGCTACACAAATTTAGCTGCGCAAATCACAGATCAACGTATGTTTTCTATTTATTGACTTGTAAGAACAAGTGGTTGTTTTGCCAAATAAGGAAGGAAGGGAAAAGGAATGAACACTTATTAACTCGCTACATGTGAGATCTCAATTATTTTTCACCTTTGTTCCCACTGAAATCTCATTAAATTCTAATAGCTAGGCAGGCATTAATAGTCACACGTCCTAGATGGAGATACTGAGGCTCAAGGAGAATCAGTGACCTCCCCAGGGTCACAGAGGTAGGAAGAGGAGAGGATGGGATTGAATCAGGTAATGGGATTTCTGAGCCCATGCCCTTGTTCGGCACTACCAGCTGCCCCTCCACTGTGCTAGGTCCTATGGGGAGAAATCTGGAATCCTTACCAGAAAACACAAGAAATATTTGGAATCTTCTTAAAGTAGGAGACATTTTTAAAGAGGAAAATGTTACAGTAATGAATATCTTGTTCAATTTTCTGAATAGTAGTACTACAGTGAGGTTCTTATCTTCCATTTAAACTCTTCTAGGTAGAACCTTTCTTTTTCAGTTTTAAAAGATTACTGTTGACAGGGACATTTTAG